TTTCATATTTTATGTAATTGTCAGCTAACACTGGTGCTCAGGCATAAGCAGTGAAATATGTGATTAGTTATTACAGAGATACATTTTTACATTACTATAGAGTTTAATATTTAATTTGAAGTCTTTTGTGAGTCCTTTCAAAATAAACATGGCGTTTGTTTTAACTCTGGAATTCCCAAAAATTCCCAACACCGGTGTCTGACTACAGCTTTACTGGACGCAGATTACATCATTCACTGTCAACATGAGCAAGAGGAAAGGAGATATTTGCTTAGATTAAGTTGAAACTTTAAACTTGATGAGAATCATAAGAATTAGGAATTAGAGATAAGTGTCTTTAGTTCTGTGTCAACACTGTGGGTTTGTTTTGAGGGGTCATGATGGTTAGCTGTTGTATGTCTGACTTGCTGGCAGTTTTGCTCCATTTTGCATTCAGCGGCATCAAATCACATTGTCTTCACTTCATGCATAAGCACATTGTTCAACAGTAATAATCCTCCGTGCAAAACAGTGTGCTGTATAGCTGAATGAATTAAACAAAGCATCGATGCAAAGAATTTGAATTAATCAAATTTATCGATGAATCATTTCAGACCTAGTCATGGCTGTTTTGATGGCAAAAAGAAGACCTAAGCAATATAAGGCAGGTATATACATAAGACATATACATAACACGATTTCCCCTGTATACATAATGTTATGACTGATTAGTATAACATTACTTATAGCCAAGTTAATTTTCTTGGTTACTGCCAGATTATCCCATCCATATGTTTCAATATATGCATTAAATTTCACATCTCCTCTTAGCAATTTTTGATTAGTTTTGGTTTAACACACAAGTCCAGTTGCAGTTTGATGTGTTTTTGGTGTACTGTGTGTTATATCATAGTGTTGCACTGTTGACTTGTTGTTGTACAGTCTGGTATGTTACAGTGTAGTATGATATATATACAGTGTGTGCAGCATCTAAGCTCTCTGGGCCACATCTCCCTGCCACTGTTAATCAGTGGGATTTAAAGGCTTAGTTTAATGATGACTTATAAAGTTGGTTGTTCTTTTACTAAATGACACACAGACAGACCAAAATGGATGCTGAGCCAAGCTTTAATCAGAAAACAGAGAAATGATTTACAAGAACATAGAGTACAATAATATGAGTACTGTAAGTACTGAGGATAAATAAGCCAAATTCTTTCTTTATTTCAGGTTCAAATAAAAAAATCTAAAGTATAACAAAAGTATAAATTGCTGTGTCCTAAATAGCAAATGTGAGCATGCTAATAGGCTAAACTAACATAGTGAACATGGCGCACATGACAGGATATGCCTTAGTAAAAGTACTGCTGTGGATCTTTCTCTCATGTTCTAACAAATCAGTTTCACCTGAATCACATCTCTCCTCGTACTTAACTACCCTTTGCCACCCCTTCATCTGCCCCAGCGCCATCCTCCACCTCCTCTACGCTGACCAACTCGTCTTCTCATTCCTCTCCCTCTTCCTCCTTGGCATCTTATCATTCCTATACCTTTTCCTCCCTTACGCCAGCCCATTCCTATACCTTTTCCTCCCTTGCGCCAGCCCATTCCTCTGCCATTTCCTCCTTTGCGCCAGCCCATTCCTCTGCCTTTTCCTCCCTTGCGCCAGCCCATTCCTCTGCCTTTTCCTCCTTTGACCCAGCCCATTCCTATACCTTTTCCTCCCTTGCGCCAGCCCATTCCTCTGCCATTTCCTCCTTTGTGCCAGCCCATTCCTCTGCCTTTTCCTCCCTTGCGCCAGCCCATTCCTCTGCCTTTTCCTCCTTTGACCCAGCCCATTCCTATACCTTTTCCTCCCTTGCGCCAGCCCATTCCTCTGCCATTTCCTCCTTGCGCCAGCCCATTCCTCTGCCTTTTCCTCCTTGCGCCAGCCCATTCCTATACCTTTTCCTCCCTTGCGCCAGCCCATTCCTCTGCCATTTCCTCCCTTGCGCCAGCCCATTCCTCTGCCTTTTCCTCCCTTGGGCCAGCCCATTCCTATACCTTTTCCTCCCTTGCGCCAGCCCATTCCTCTGCCTTTTCCTCCTTTGCTCCAGCCCATTCCTCTGCCATTTCCTCCCTTGCGCCAGCCCATTCCTCTGCCATTTCCTCCCTTGCGCCAGCCCATTCCTCTGCCATTTCCTCCCTTGCGCCAGCCCATTCCTCTGCCATTTCCTCCTTGCGCCAGCCCATTCCTCTGCCTTTTCCTCCCTTGCGCCAGCCCATTCTTCTGCCTTTTCCTCCCTTGCGCCAGCCCATTCCTCTGCCTTTTCCTCCCTTGCGCCAGCCCATTCCTCTGCCTTTTCCTCCTTTGACCCAGCCCATTCCTCTGCCATTTCCTCCTTTGCTCCAGCCTTTTCCTCTGCCATTTCCTCCCTTGCGCCAGCCCATTCCTCTGCCATTTCCTCCCTTGCGCCAGCCCATTCCTCTGCCTTTTCCTCCCTTGCGCCAGCCCATTCCTCTGCCTTTTCCTCCCTTGCGCCAGCCCATTCCTCTGCCTTTTCCTCCCTTGCTCCAGCCCAATCCTATACCTTCTCCTCTCTTGCGCCAGCCCATTCCTCTTCCGTTTCCTCCTTTGCTCCAGCCCATTCCTGTAGCTTTTCCTCCCTTGCGCCAGCCCATTCCTCTGCCATTTCCTCCCTTGCGCCAGCCCATTCCTATACCTTTTCCTCCTTTGCTCCAGCCTATTCCTATACCTTTTCCTCCTTTGCCCCAGCCCATTCCTCTGCCTTTTCCTCCTTTGCCCAGCCCATTCTTCTGCCTTTTCCTCCTTTGCTCCAGCCCATTCCTCTGCCATTTCCTCCCTTGCGCCAGCCCATTCCTCTGCCATTTCCTCCTTTGCGCCAGCCAATTCCTCTGCCTATTCCTCCTTTGCTCCAGCCCATTCCTAAACCTTTTCCTCCTTTGACCCAGCCCATTCCTATACCTTTTCCTCCCTTGCGCCAGCCCATTCCTCTGCCTTTTCCTCCTTTGCTCCAGCCCATTCCTCTGCCATTTCCTCCCTTGCTCCAGCCAATTCCTCTGCCATTTCCTCCCTTGCTCCAGCCCATTCCTCTGCCATTTCCTCCTTTGCGCCAGCCAATTCTTCTGCCTATTCCTCCTTTGCGCCAGCCCATTCCTCTGCCTTTTCCTCCTTTGACCCAGCCCATTCCTATACCTTTCCTCCCTTGCGCCAGCCCATTCCTCTGCCATTTCCTCCTTTGCGCCAGCCCATTCCTCTGCCTTTTCCTCCCTTGCGCCAGCCCATTCCTATACTTTTCCTCCCTTGCGCCAGCCCATTCCTCTGCCTTTTCCTCCTTTGCTCCAGCCCATTCCTCTGCCATTTCCTCCTTTGCGCCAGCCCATTCCTATACCTTTTCCTCCCTTGCGCCAGCCCATTCCTCTGCCTTTCCTCCTTGCTCAGCCCATTCCTCTGCCATTTCCTCCTTTGCTCCAGCCCATTCCTCTGCCATTTCCTCCCTTGCGCCAGCCCATTCCTCTGCCATTTCCTCCCTTGCGCCAGCCCATTCCTCTGCCTTTTCCTACCTTGCGCCAGCCCATTCCTCTGCCTTTTCCTCCCTTGCGCCAGCCCATTCTCTGCCTTTTCTCCTTTGCTCCAGCCCATTCCTATACCTTCTCTTCCTTGCGCCAGCCCATTCCTCTTCCGTTTCCTCCTTTGCTCCAGCCCATTCCTATAGCTTTTCCTCCCTTGCGCCAGCCAATTCCTCTGCCATTTCCTCCCTTGCGCCAGCCATTCCTATACCTTTACCTCCTTTGCTCCAGCCTATTCCTATACCTTTCCTCCTTTTCGCCAGCCCATTCCTCTGCCATTTCCTCCTTTGCTCCAGTCCATTCCCCTGCCATTTCCTCCCTTGCTCCAGCCAATTCCTCTGCCATTTCCTCCCTTGCGCCAGCCCATTCCTCTGCCATTTCCTCCCTTGCGCCAGCCTATTCCTCTGCCTTTTCCTCCTTTGCGCCAGCCCATTCCTAAACCTTTTCCTCCCTTGCGCCAGCCCATTCCTCTGCCATTTCCTCCTTTGCTCCAGCCCATTCCTATAGCTTTTCCTCCCTTGCGCCAGCCCATTCCTCTGCCATTTCCTGCTTTGCGCCAGCCCATTCCTCTGCCATTTCCTCCCTTGCGCCAGCCCATTCCTCTGTCATTTCCTCCTTTTCTCCAGCCCATTCCTCTACCTTTTCCTCCCTTGCGCCAGCCCATTCCTCTGCCATTTCCTCCCTTGCGCCAGCCCATTCCTCTGCCTTTTCCTCCTTTGCGCCAGCCCATTCCTCTGCCTTTTCCTCCTTGCTCCAGCGCATTCCTCTGCCTTTTCCTCCTTTGCGCCAGCCCATTCCTCTGCCTTTTCCTCCTTTGCTCCAGCCAATTCCTCTGCCTTTTCCTCC